TTGGTACAATTCACTCTGAAGGAGGAGAGGGGGGGAGAGGGGAGAGGGGAGGAGAGGGAAATCTTCATTCCAGAATCTACATGCCCTATTCACCAACTTATCCAATGACAAGAAATCTGCATTAAGCCTGGTGCCTGTGGCTCATATGCCTGTAATTCTAGCTACTCAAGAAGACTGAGATCTGAGAATCACAGTTCAAAACTAGCCTGGGCAGGAAAGTCCACGAGACTCTTATTTCCAATTAACCACCAGAAAACCAGAAGTAGCATGTAGCTCACATGATAGAGTGCTTGCCTTGAGCTGAAGAGCTCAGTGACAGTGTCCAGGCCCAGAGTTCAAGCCCTACAACCCAACAAAAACAAACAAAAACTTATGTGATTTGGGAAAAAAATTTTTTTTGAGATAGGTTTTCACTGCATAGTTAATGCTGGCCTGGACCATCTAAGCAAGCCTAAACTGGCCTGGTCACAATTCTTCCTACCTCCATAGGGAGTGTTGGGATATAGGCAGACTAAAAAAAAATTTAATGTTTGGGGCTGGGAAGGTGGTCAGTGGTAGAGCGCTTGCCTTGCATGCATGAGGCCCTGGGTTTGATTCCTCAGCACCACATAAGCAAAAAGAAAAAAGCCGGAAGTGGCGCTATGGCTCAAGTGGTAGAGCGCTAGCCTTGAGCTGAAGAGGTGAGGGACAGCGCCCAGGCCCAGAGTTCAGGCCCCAAGACCGGACCCAAAAAAAAAAATTTAAAAAATTAAAAAAAAAATAGCTATGTGAGAGAGACCACCAAAATATCTACACAATATTGAGTTTGACACATCAAAAAAAATTTATTTTTTTTCATGGGGCTTTAACTCAGGTCCTGTATGCTGTCCCTGAGCTCTTTTTGCTCAAGGCACTCAACCATTTTGAGCCACAGCTCCACTTCTAGTTTTCTGTTGGTTAATTGGAGATAAGAGTCTCACAAACTTTCCTGCCCTGGCTGGCTTTGAACTATGATCCTCAGATCTCAGCCTCCTAAGTAATTAGGATTACAGGTGTGAGCCCTCAGTGCCCAGCAGATAAAATTACTTACAAAGGAAACTATCATTAATGTGTTTTTGAAAATACATCTTTTAATGAGGGAAAAAGGCACTGTAGTATTTAAAACAGGATAACAAATTGGTGGCTCATGCCTGTAATCTTAGCTATTCATAAGGCTGAGATCCAGAGGATGGCTCAAAGTTCAAAGTCAACAATATAAAAAGCAAAGGTTTGTTGTTTGTTTGTTGAAACAGGTCTTGCCAAGTAGTCCAGGCTAGCTTTTTTTGTTGTTGTTAGCCATGGGGCTTGAATTCTGGGCCTGAGTGCTGTCCCTCAGTTCTTCAGCTCAAGGCGAGCACTGTACCACTTGAGCCACTGCACCGCTTCTGGTTTTCTGGTGGTTTTTATTAGAAAAAAAGAGTCTCATGGCCTTTCCAGCCTGGACTGGCTTTGACTTGTGATCCTCAGATCTCACCCTCCTGAGTAGCTAGGATTACAGGTGTGAGCCACCGGTGCCCAACCGGGGTAGCTTGAAATTCACAATCTTCTACCTCCCAAGTGCTGAGATTATAGACATACACCACCATGACTGGCAAAAATAAAACTTTTTTTTTCGATTGTGGGGCTTGAACTCTGGGCCTGGTGCTGTCCCTCAGCTCTTCAGTTCAAGGCTAGTGCTCTACTACTTGAGCCACAGCGCCACTTCCAGTTTTTCTGATGGTTTATTGGAGATTAGAGTCTCACGGACTTTCTTGCCCAGCCTGCCTTTGAACCGAAATCCTCAGATCTCAGCCTCTTGAGTAGCTAGGATTACAGGCATGAGCCACTGTCGGCCAGCAAAAATAAAACTATTAATGATTGAAACATCTATTTCATTTCCTATCATCTTGTTCTTCTTAATACTTGATTAGACTTTTACATTAAAACCGAAAATCTATTTCCAAAATTAAAATATTTGGGCTGGGAAGGTGGCTCAGTGGTAAAGTGCTTGCCTTGCATGCATGAGGCCCTGGGTTCAATTCCTCAGCACCATATAAGCAAAAAGAAAAAAGCCAGAAGTGGTGCTGTGGCTCAAGCGGTAGAGCACTAGCCTTGAGCTGAAGAGCTGAGGGAGAGAGCCAAGGCCCAGAGTTCAGGCCCCACAACCAGACCAAAAAAAAAAAAAAAGAATTGTTCAAAATTAGCACATCTATCTCTAACATCCCTTTACATAGGGAGCACCTACATAAAGTACAACGACTCCCTTCATTTCTGAGATAGGATTTGCATTATTTCTACAACAAATAGTTCTAGAATTTGATGTCTAAAAAGTAAATGCAGTTGATTGGTTTCTAGGAACTCAGAATCAAGACACAATGTCATAGTGTACACCTCCAATCCCAGCTACTTGGGAAGGAAATATAGGGAGAATCTTAGTTCTAGGCTAGCCAGGGTAAAGTTGGCAAGATCCCCATTCTCAACACCCAGGCATTGTGGTTCATAAACTGTAAGTCTTGCTATGTAAGAGGCATAGGTAGGAGGATCACTGTCTGATGCTGTCCCAGGCAAAAAACACAAGATCTTACCTAAAAAATAACTAAACGGGCTGGGAAGGTGGCTCAGTGGTAGAGTGCTTGCCTTGCATGCATGGGGCCATGGGTTCGACTCCTCAGCACCACATAAGCAGAAAAAGCCAGAAGTGGCGCTGTGGCTCAAGTGGTAGAGCACTAGCCTTGAGCTAAAGAGCTGAGGGACAGTGCTCAGGCCCAGAGTTCAGGTCTCACAACTGACAAAAAATAAATAAAACTAAAGCTAGAAGAATAAGGGGTTGTGACTCAGTAGTAGAACATTTGACTAGCAAAGTGCCAGGCCCCAAGTACAAATCACAGTACCACAAGAAACAAAAAACCCAAAAGTGTTAGTATTTTACTTTTATCCAAATAGTTTAAGTAAAAGAAAAACAGAAGTTGGGTGTCCTTGGTTCACTCCTGTAATACTAGTTACCCAGGAGGCTGAGATCAGAGGAGATACTTGTCTCCAATTAACCACCGAAAACCCAGAAGTAGAGATGTGGCTCAAGTAGTAGAGTGCTAATCCTGAGCAAAAAAGATCTGAGGTCAAGTCCCAGGGCAAGCACAAAATAAAGATTGGTCCTGGGAGAAAAGTTTGTGAGACTGCCCTTCTCAACCCATAGATGAGCACACCTATCATCCAGCTATGTGAGAAGCTGAGATTGGGAAGATCTCTTCCAGGCCAGACTGGGCAAAAAAAGGAAGGGGAAGGGAAAAGGGAAAGGAGAAAGGGAAAGGGGGAAGGGGAAAGGGGGGAAGGGGAAAGGGGGAAAGGGAAAGGGGGAAAGGGGGAAGTGGGGAAAGGGGGAAGGGAAAAGGGAGAAGGAGGAAGGGAAAAGAGAGAAGGGGAAAGGAAAAAGGGGAAAGGGGGAAGGGGAAAAGGGGAAAGGGGAAAGGAGAAAGGAAAGGAAAGGAAAAAGGAAAAGGAGAGTAAGAGAGAGAGAAAGAAAGAAAGGAAGGAAGGAAGGAAGGAAGGAAGGAAGGGAGGGAGGGAGGGAGG